ATCAGCTCTGTAACAAAAGCTGTGCTAGGCACCTACTATGTGAAAAGCATCTTGATGAGTAACATTAAGCACCCTCCCCAGTGGGACTACAGCTTTTGGTCACAATGTACTGTTAACAGGCAACAAAGTGGTAGCTACAGGGCAACTTTAACTAAAACACACTCATTTCAATCTAGCCTATTACAAATACCACCTTCAGCGTCCAATACCATCCTGTATCTTACATAGTACTATACAATTCTTAATACTGCATTATCTCCCACAAATGTCAGAATTAAAACCATCTCTCTAATAGAAATGTCTGTAGGAGTGTTTGATCTAAATTCCTTGGCTTCCAAAGGGGGGGGTGTGAGGAACCAGCAACATATGCCACTGTTGACAACCCCACCCTCACACAAACTCTTTCAGAGCTCTTAGAGCTCTCTTGTCACGAGGGGAACAGTAGGTTGCCAAAGAGTAGAGAGACTAGGGGAACTTATAGAAAGCTATTATTTGACTTAAAAGTTAGAATGTGGATGGAACTAGGTGTGGAACACTAGACTAAAAGAAGAAATTGTCTTTGATTCCTGTTTTAAACTCTCATCTTTTTGTTAAAGAAAATGCATATATGCACACACACACACACACACCCCAGAGGAGGTTAAACCATTGTGCCTTTAGGAATCCTTTCCCCATCATCTATATTCTCATCCCTCCCCAGCTCACTCAGCCGCTCACACCTCTCTACAGCTAGATCAACAAGGTTACATACTTTCTCCTTGGTACCATTTCCGCCTTACCAGGACTTCGCCTGACACACCCCTTGGTTACAGCTCTAGTAATTGATTACTGCAATATGGAGTGCAACGAAGCAGAGTAACTGAGTGTATGTGTTTGTAAGATAACAAAGAAGATAATTCTACAGAGCCATAAAACCACTAAGCATTATGTTAAATCATTTCAAGAGTGAGTCATTGTGTAGTAGCTCATGTCTGTAATCTCAACACTCATGAGACAGAGGCAGGAGCATTGGGCATTCAGAGCCAACCTTAGCTACATACTGAATCCAAAGGCAGCGTAGCTGTAAAAGACTGTGTAAGTACATATATGTACACAGATATATAAGTAATAAGAAAATATTTATGTACATACACACACACACCTACTTAATCCCAAAAACCTTAAAACTCAAAGTTAATTTATATTGTAGAAGAGGGTGAGATGTGTCAGACTTTGATGATCCCTCATGGGAGGCATCACCCTCCCTAGGGAGTAGATTGGAGGGTGGGTTGGGGGATTTGTGGGGGGGCATTGGAGGATGGGAAGGAGAGGGAACTTCAATTGGCATTTAAAATAATATTGTTTTAATTTAAATAAACATTTATTGAAAAGAAGAGGATGAGAAAGAACCTGATTTTAAAAATCTGTATGACCAGATACATTTGATAGTTTATAAAATCTCTACAAGACTTAAGTGAACTCCACCCAGCACTAAGAAATTTACACTTCAATTATAGTAAACACAAAGATAATGAAACACAAAGACAAAGCCAGGATGAAGACTAAGTGCACAGAAGCAAGAGTCAGGGACAGGAGACTGCACGAGAGGTGCCTGAAGGATGGTCTTATCAGCTTATCTGCAGGAGTTTGTAACAGGCTTGTAAGGAGGAAGAGTCACTGAGAAAGAGAGGAAGTGAGTTTGAAAGCAATGGTCTGAACCAAAGCAGCCAAGAAAATTAGGACTTTAATAGACACCAGCACCCCACCCACGCTGCCCATCCTTCCCATCACACAACTCAAGAGGGCAGTTACACTAGGTGCAATAGCTAGAATTGGGTGCTTAGGGTTCTGTGAGCTCCAGGACATATTCCTTAATCTTTGGATCACTACAGCCACTTCTAAACCGAAATCCTGGGAAGGGTTACAGAACCATCTCTCTCCTACTCAGCTTCCCAGCATGGAGTTCTGATCTTCCATGACACCTTTCTGGGGCTCCCAAGTTACAGGTGAATCAAGATCTTTAACCTGCATGGAGAAATTCTTCACAGGATGGTCCTTCCTCTTCCTCCATGCCCTCTCACCCTGGTGTCTGTGCCCTAGAAACCTGCATGAGCCAGACTCCCCACAGCTTCATCACTGCTTCTGCACAGCTCCCTCACACAGTTTTGCATATACTTCAATAAAGGCCGCCACCCTCTACAAGTGTCCTGTTTCAAGGGACCCCATCCTGTGAAAGGGGCACATCTTGTCCTGGTCTAAATACACACCCTTCTGCACTTAGCACAGAAGGGCTGCTCAACTAATGCTGATGAGGCATAGCAAAATAAGCCTAGATCTGGGGATGATTAAACATGGAATGGACCAAAGGACTAGAGTTCACATGGGCAGATGAGTCTAAGACTGGCAATGAATGAGAACAAAGTCTCAAGAGGCATGGCCGGACTATCACCTCACACGGCCTCTATTCACTTCCCAAATGGCATGACAATCGGGATGAGAAATCATAGAGTCAACTAACAGAAACAGATAGATGGTAAACGTAAAGCTTTCAACTCGTACCATTTAACCTAACTAGGAAGTCCAACCTACCAATCAACTATCTGTATCAAATCAATCCATCTGAACCCTGAGTTCTTCCTCATAGCTCCAATGTCTAGAAGAACTTTCTCTTGGCAGAGTTTGAACATTGAATAATGCAAGAAGATAAAACTTTAAAAAAAATTAAAAAAAAAACCTAATATTCAAACTATTTGAAGAGTGAGAAGCTCTAAGGAAATATATTAATCGTGGGCTTCTACATTCTGCCATGAAAGCTAGGGCTATCACTTTTTAAGGGGTTTCGGGGTGGGGCTGAGTGCCAATGTACCAATGAAGGTCACAGAACATATGAAAGTATATTCTGTATATTCTCTCCTTCCACCATGTGGGTCCTGAGGGTTGAACTCAGGTCCTCAGCTTGGTGGCAGATACCTTTACCCACTGATCTATCTCATCTGTCCTATTCCTAGCACGTTTTAAATCAAGAAGAAATGATGCCCAGTTAACTCACTGACTAATTGGAGGTGAGGAGGCATGTGGAGGGAGACAAAGCTGCCAAGGACAGTTCTCTGCAGCACCAGACGCTTGCAGTTGTAACTGTCTCCACTAGGGCACTCCTGCAACTGCTGCCAAGACAGGATTTCTGTGGCTGGTTGGTGAAACTGTGAGTACAAGATTTGCCCAAAGGTTCATTCATCAGCACGCCTTTTAGGCGTAATTTCTGGTGGCCATGACATAAGTCAATGAGAAAGACCATGGGTAGTTCACCATTTTCAATTTTCAGTGTGGGTTCATTCTGCATAAGGAGGCCAACCTGGCACCCAAGTACCTAACAGCTTCAAGAACAACCTGAATTAATTGTTTATAAAGCTCTATAGCCCAGTCCTCCAGTAGGTTTAACTTCACACATGTAGGTGAAACACCTCATGTCAAAGTAATTTTCCTGCTCTGAATTATAAAACTAAGAGAAATTCAACAGAAAATGCCAATACTGAGTATGCTTTAAACTATTATACAACTATTAGAAGAGTAAGGAATAGTGAAGAAACATCAATCAAGAGCTTTAACACTACAGAGATTTGAGGAAGAGGTTACAGTTACAATCTTCATTCCACCAGTGTCTCCTCTCCCACAGCTGGAAATCAGAATTGTTTTGATATAGCCTGTAAACCACTGTTAGTGTACTTCAGTAACCTCCAAGAAGGCTTATCTTTCTATCACTATCATTTATAGGATATAACACTCTTGGGCATGGTAAAGCATTTTCTGATGCAAAAGTCAGTGTACTCCACATTAAAATTGTAATTGAATAAAAGGACTACCAAAAATAGCCAGAACCTGCTTAAACATTTGTTGCCTGGCAAAATCAGTTGTAGCTATCTACACTAAAGTATCAATCTAAATACTGAAGGGCACGGTGAGAAAAGGCAGAGGTAATTAACTGTATCTGCTGTTTTACTTCATGGAACAAACCTGAATTACATCGGTCACTAAAAGCAAAGCCAGCTCTGAGGCTACAATGCCTAATCATGGAACCTAATCATGAAACAGAGGCTAGCCCAAATTAATTTCCTTTCTAAATTAAAATCTGATGGTGCCAACTATATACACTGAGCCCCTTGCTTATGTCAACTTCTATTCTGGCTTGATTCTCGCTTGAGTACCTCACTATGACAGACATGAATATTTTCCTAAGAAACTGATGGTGCTAACTTGAGTGTAACTTTTTAACTGTTGCTCCCAGGGGTGGTATTTTTATGTAATGATCACTTACTGTTCAATCCCACTAAACAGTGGCATCCTACATCTTCTGCCTGGCAGAAGCCAGGTGCAGAGCCTTAATTTGCACAAGTCTGGTAAATCAGAAACTTGGGCTTTACAGCCTGGGGCGTCAAGGAGGTCAACCTGTGCACACTTTCCTCTCCTCTTTAAAAAGGAATACTGTTTGCTCTCTCTCCAGAAAGATGAGTATCTGACAGATCGCTCTGTCAGAACGAAAGGTCGAGGCTAAGTCCTGGCATGTGCCCCCAAGTTTGGCCTAGACCGGAGTGTCATCAAATTCCTGTGATTTAAATGATTTGTGGGTAAAATCTGAAAGGAAGGAAAAGCCACACCCAATTCCTAAATTTACTTTGTAAAGTGTTTGGAGGCCGTGCGAAGAAACTGTTTGACAAGCAGGAGGCCTGGTGGAAATGGGCCACCGTCCTCCTCCCGGCGTCGCCCAGGGTCCCTGCCCCGCGCCTGCTGCTCCAGCCCTTTTGTTTGTGTCTCTGCGGGCCGGTGCGGGGCTGTGGGCGGGACCGGCATGCGGCGCAGCCAGCGGCCTCCGCGGCACCAGATCAGGTGGGTCGAGGACCTGGGATCAGGGATCCCGCAACACCGTCCGGAGCGAGAGCAGGAAAAAACCCAAGTTGCTTCTGAGGCACGGCTTCCGCGCAGAGGCGTCCGCCCCGGATCCCCATGCTCCGGCCCCGGGCACTCACCGATGTCTCCATCCTCATCGTCATCATCTTCCAGCTCCATGTTCAGAAGAACGTTCCTACTCATCATCTGCATGTCTCCCCTAGACTGGCGCTCGGCTCCGCTCGGCGCTTCTCGGCTCAGCTCGGCTCGGGCCGCAAGCTCCGCTCAGCCCTGTCGGCGCAGCTTGCTGCACTCCGCCCGCGCTCTGCTTCCTTAGCCGAATGGCCAGAGACTGAGCATGCCCAGAGAAACGCCGCCGCCACTCCCGCCCCAGATCTAACCGCCCCGGCTTCGGGGCTCCCAGGAGGAAGTGGGGGGGGGGGGGGCTGGGTTCGCCAGACTACGCCTGCGGGACGCGCTGCAGCTGCAGACGCGGGCCGGCTCCGAGGGTTCGCAAAGGCTTTTAAACGGTTCTGCAGAATGGCAAGAAGACAGAACCTGCCAGATGATTGTGCGGCAGATGACACGTGTGTATGGAGAGCCTGCTGTCCCCTTCTGAGGGAGCAATCGCAATGAGTAATCATGGGGTGCAGCGGGTGCTGGCGATGCAAATCAGACCTCAAAGCCAGGCACTAGGCCGAACACGTCATGGCTACGTGTAAACTCTTCAATAGGCCGATGTGGGAAACCACAGTACCAGGAAGAACAAAGAAATGAAAGGGGAAATATGAAGACTCCGCTAGGCTTGGAGAGTGAAGGAATGTCTCCCTGAAAACTCAAGGACTCTGGAGCGCAGATACAGCGGGAGTTGGCTCCAAAAACGCAGGGAAGCAATTAGAACTGCAGGGCCCTTGGGTCACCCCTGTGAAGAGCTGCTATCAAGGACGCTGGTGAAAATTCATTTCTCTGCAGTTCACTGGTGGAACACTTGCTTCCTGAGCCCATTCCTATTATATGGGCCAGCATTGCTCAATGAGGCCAACTCTACCGTGTATTTTACTCTTTCATGTACTTCCTCTTTTTCCCTTTTCCCTCTCAGATGCTGGATTCCATCCCAACACCCCTGGTGTGCTGGGGAGCACCGTACATTGACCTATACTCACTTTTAGTGTTCTCACGTGAAGAAAAAAAAAAAAACATTGAGATCAATATTAACGAAGCAATATAACCACGAATATGCACTAAAAGAGTGCAAATTACTCTTCAGAAAATGACCAGGAAACAGTACCCCTGCATCTTAGGGTACAGTTTTAGAAAGAAATATATTAATATATAGCATATATTACACATGAAATATAACAATTGTCTTTTAGAAGACTATCCTAATATTAAAAAGTAAGTGCAGAGCCCTGGAGATATTGAGATGGGGGTTGGGGAGGAGACAGCATGTGAGCTCTAGCTATAGGCTTCAGCAAGACTGGTCTTCTGGACAGAGCTGGAGGGGTGAGAGAGGGGGGTACCCTTAATGAACTCTCAGTTCCAGAGGTGTTTGGGTTACGGAAGCTGTTTTCATCTTCTTCATTCAGCAAATACTTGGTGTTTTTTATGAGCTGCATGTGGTTCTAAATGTCATCATTTCCTCTCACCCTAGCAGTTGAGCCCATCACTGACCTGCCACAGTTCTCAACAATGTTTTTGGGTTTTTGGGTTTTCCAACCCAAGACTTTGCTCAAAGCTAATCCATAGTTAGAAAATTCTTGGGGTTGCAGAGAGTCATTTGGAATTCTTAGCAGATTTTAGAGATTCCATCTGTACCTTTCTTGATAAATGTTGCGGAGACATGTCTTTTATGTAGATATGGCCTTTGCCACAAGGAAACTGAATTATTTACTTAGGCCAGCAGTGGGTCTATTATTAGTATACCCTATTTGATCCGTTAATGCATTCCCTACAGTTCTTCTCATGCATTGTTTTGTTTCGATTAATCAATACATATGCTGTAAAAAATAATCCAAGTCATAGGCCTGTTTAGGAGCCACACCCTTGACCCTAAAGAATTGTCTGTACTATATATAGTTTGTGAGAGAAAATGCTCATAGCATTGTGGCCAGAGTATTTGTATTTACAAAGCTTTCCCAAGTGAGGAGTCACAGACCAAGTACTTTCTCCCCTATTTGTCTTCAGCCATAGGATGCTGTGTCGGCCCAGCCTGTGAATGTTGGTACTTCACTGGATTTGACCCTCAGCCCTCTTCTCTTTCCCTATAGAACTGATGCTGGTTTTACAATTTTAACTATCACAAGAAAAAAAGAGTTCTATGGCATTCAGTGTGCCTCTATATTCTGAAGCTCCTGATATCTGAGGTTTTAAAACCCTATGGTTGCCATCTTGAATTTCTTTTATGTTTTATTTATTTTTTTGTTTTGAGGCAGGGTTTCTCTGTATAGCCCCAGCAGTCTTTGAACTCACTCTGTAGACCAGGCTGCCCTCCAACTCAGACATCTGCCTGCCTCTGCCTCCCAAGTGTTTGGAATAAAGGCCTGTGCTGTCACCACCTGGCTTGAATTTCTTAATAAACTATCTTTGAAATTTTATTTTGTCATCGAGGTCAAATGAACAATGTCTCCATTCATGTGCAATCCCACTTCCTATCATTTCCCTGTCTCTCTGTGAAATGGGCTCTTAGCAGTCAACTGTTGTGCTCTCTGACCTCTGCCCTGCCTTTTTGTCTTCCTGGGCATACTTGAAACCACCATGGAAGTCTGGGTATAGACATAGGGATCAGAGTCGTGGTGAGGTATCCCTGACCTGGATTGCCCATAGCACAGTCAAATCACCCAGACTAAAGAGTAAAGAATGTCTCATTCCTGCCCAGGCACGGAGACTGCAATCTCAGTCATGTGAATTGAAGGGAAAAGCCAGGAGGGAGAGAGATGCCTGACTTGACTTCTGCCCCTTGTCAAAGCATAGTTTGTCAAACAGAACCTGATGGAATGGAGACCTCGGAGCTACTGGGAATTAGATGCTCTTTTAACAAAAGGCTCTAATTTTTTAGTAATTTTATAATTCTAATACTTAAGATTTATTTTAATTATTTGTATATACAATATCTGTGTGTGAATTTGTGCACTCAAATGCAGTGACTGAGGAGGTCAGAAGTTGGGTCCCCTCGAGCTGGAGTAGTGAGCTGCCTGACATGGGTGCTGTAATATTCTTAACCACTGAAATATCACTCCAGCCCCCTTACATTTTTATCTTGTAGTTATGTGACTTTTTCTGGAGAGGCCTGAACAAAATGTCTCCTTAAACCAGATAAAGAACCAATAACAGCCCAAGTCACAGTTCCATCGGAGTCCAATATATACTGGACTCTATGTACTGGAATTACTTATAGGAGCATGGATGGCTTAAAGGCAGATACCTCTCCCACACAGGTGATAAAGAAAGAAACCTTCATCCCCAGAGCTCTGCTTCCTTAGTGCTCCCTGAATGACCTGTGTGTGGTTTACCAGGTCAGAATCTCCATCAAGCAGCTCAGACCTGGGAAATCTCTCTTCAGCTACTGTTGCTGTTTGCATAACCTTGGGGGTTGGGGCTTCAGAATCTTTCAAGTTTAAGGGATTTCCCAAGACTGAGAATGCTGACTCCCTGACTTTTAAGGAACCTTTCTCCTAGAAGGGAGGTTTAGGTACTTTCATTCAGAGGGGATTGCTACAGCACAGCACTGACCCCTGAAAATTGTGTAGCTGGAACCGACTGCATGATCTGCTTGCTGCCAAGATCCCTGTTCATATTTCCAGTATGTCAGTATATTTGTGTACACATTGGGTATCTCTTGACCTTTCTTACATGGTTGAAATTTGGCAGGTTCATTCTAAGTGTATGATCTCTGCCTTCAAGCTGCGAGACCCAAGGATTGGAACAAGTTCCTTTCAGAAACTAATAATCTTAAGACTGAAAGACAGACATAAGCTCCACAAGCAAATGTTTTGACCCCTGCTTTTTCCTGTCTACCTTAGCCAGCTGTGGTGGTTTGAAAGAAAATGGCTTCCAAAGGCAGTGGCACCATCAGGAAGTGTGGCCTTGTTGGAGGAAATGTGTCAGTGTGGGGTGAGCTTTGAGGTCTCTTTTGCTCAAGCTTCCCCCAGTGTGTCTATCAGTCAACTTTCTTTTACATGCAAGATGTAGCACTCACTCCCAGCTCCTGCAGCACATCTGCCTGCACACTGCCATGCTCCTCATCATGATGATAATGGACTGAATCTCTGAAACTGTAAGCAAGCCACCCCAATTAAATGCATTCTTTATTAGAGTTGTGGTGGTCATGGTGTCTCTTCACAGCAATAAAAAACCCCAAGACACTAGTCCATTGTTAATGTACACATGTCCTGGCTACCATAAACAGAGCCTGTCTTATCTATTGTAGCATTTAAGGGAAGGAAGGTCCCAAGAAACTAAGATTAATGCATGCAACTACTATCTGAAGGGCCAGTTTTAGACAGAAGGAAAAGTAAATACAAGCATTCCTAGGAGATATACAAATGAGATGTAGCCTAATGGGATGATGAGAAGTGAGAAGGTGCTACTTAGAGCAGCAATAAATACATGCTAGCTCAGTTTCTGACTGAGTGCCTTCTTTGAAAGGTACTGGAACTTATTATTACTGATAACATAGAAGGAGACCGTTTATCAGGAGGAATAAAGCAAGAATTTTGGTATCTCCTTAAGCAATACTGTAATAGAAGAAATTTCTACAAGATTACATGTTGAACAGAGGCATTAAGAGGTCCATTAGAGCTCCATGTGATGTTCCCAATGCTCTAGGAAGCTTCCAGGCCAGCCAGGAAATCCTGTCTTAAAATTTTTTTAAAAAATGTTTGTGAAGTGTGTGTGTGTGTGTGTGTGTGTGTGTGTGTGTGTGTGTGTGTGTGTGTGCATGTGTTGCTACTCAAGGCACAGCGTCTTATTTTTCACTGTGGTCATGGTGAATACTGGACATCTCTGGGTTTTATTTCTCTAACTGAAAAACCTCTACCTTATTCTCTGCTTTTGTGAGACTGACCTTTTTACACTCTATAGTGGCCATAATACTTTGTGTGCTGAGACTGGAGGATCATTGGCGTTCAGGAGTTTCATCAGCCTAGGAAACATAGCAAGACCCAGTTTCAATCTGTTCTTTATAGAATCAAAATCATGCCATCTTTGTCTTTCCATGACTCCTTATTTCACAGAGTTTAATATCCTCAGGATTCATCCATGTCACCTTGGATAACACTTCTATTTAATTATGTATATGTCACATCTTCAGGTTTTTTTCTTTGTTTAGGGTTTTCTTTGTTTTTATCAACACAAGGTTTCTCTGT